TCTGAGAGGGTCCCCGGGCCCGAAATCGAGCGAAAACGCCTGGCTCGAACAAACAAATGAGTCGGGAGGAGGAGGAGGAGGAGGAGGAGGAGGAGGAGGAGGAGGAGAAGGGGGAGGAGGAGAAGGAGGAGGAGGAGGAGAAGGAAAAGAGGAGGAGGAGGAGGAGGAGGAGGAGCAGGAGGAGGAGGAGGAGGAGGAGGAGGAGGAGGAGGAGATCTCAGGGGCCACTCCTCCTCCCTCCGATCCCCCTGTTGGCATGGCTGTGCCAGGCTCGTCTTCGGCACGAGGAGGAGAAGCCTCGGGGCCCTGGAAGAGAGGGAGGAGGAGGAGGAGGAGGAGAGGGACAGAGAGGAGGAGAGGGAGGGAGGAGGAGAGGGAGGGAGGGGGAGGGGGAGGAGGAGAGGGAGGAGAGGGAGGAGGAGGAGGAGGAGGAGGAGGAGGAGGAGGAGGCTGGGCCGGGATCGGCCTCGAAAGGCAAATGGAAACCACTGAGACAAACTGCCAGTCCTCATCCACAGGGGAGCCCGAGCCGCGGACTGCAGCCGCCCGGGTTGCCGCCCTCTGGCCGCGCAGCCGCACCCCCCGGGAGGTCGGATTCAGCGAGGCCGAGCGCACAGAGCACGGCCTGCCGCGGCGACATCTCTGCGGCAACCGCGCGCCCTCCTCCAGCACGTGGCCGGGCGGGCGTAGCCAACGGAGGGCTGGCGACGTGCGAGAACATTGCAGGCGACCGCTGGCGCTCCTCCCGGGGGACGCCCTCGGGTGGCGCTAGCTGCAAGCCCCTCAGTTACTCTGCGGTCGTGGGGATGGTCTCCCTTCGAAAGTTTGGGCAATTGCTCTTTGAGTTTCGGGCCGCCCCTCGGGCCCTTGCAGAAAGAACGCATGCACTCCCCCGAGCACTTGCCCCCGAAGTAGACCCCGCAATGGTAGCAGAAAATCAGCCGCATCCCAGTTTTCCTCTGGATGTCGGCGCTCAGCAACGCACGGCCCAGCACCCGAAACGCGACTGGCTCGTAGTCGTGCCACGCTGGGGCCCACTCAATGAACAACTCTGGAAGAGGGGGAAGAGGAGGAGGAGGAGGAGGAGGAGGATGCTGAAGGGGCGGGTCAGCAGCGGTAGCACTCAAGCTCACGGCACCACCATCAGCCCCCTGAGGCTCCTATGCGGCGTCCTCCTTCCCGGGACGCCTGCCCAGATCGTCCTCTCGGTTTGGAGGCCCGTTGTCAGCGACATGGCTGTGCAACTGCTCCGCCCACCAGCCCATCACCACCGCTATGTCCTCCAGACCAACCCACAGATGGGCAGCAGCGCCAGTGACGCCATGCAAGGCGGCCCCCGCCTTCGCCAGCTCGTCGGCCTCGGCATTCGCGCACCTCTCCATGGCGGTCGTCCTGCCGCCGTCCACGTCTGCCTGCATCGCGTGGGCGGGGGTCCTGTGGAGCGCACCATCACCAGGCATGAACGTCCCCCAGAATCTGCCCCACCAGTGTGGTCGGTCATCTGTCGTCCTGGTGCCCGTCCCAGAGCCGCCGCTCACGACGCCAATGGTGCCCTCACAACCCACGTGCAAACCGAAGGGGGCGATGGCGACATCTCCGGGGCAGCCGCGCGCCCTCCTCCAGCACGTGGCCGGGCGGGCGTAGCCAACGGAGGGCTGGCGACATGCGAGAAAATTGCAGGCAACCGCTGGCGCTCATCCCAGGGGACGCCCTCGGGTGGCGCTAGCTTCAAGCCCCTCAGTTACTTTGCGGTAGTGGGGATGGTCTCCCTTCGAAAGTTTGGACAATTGCTCTTTGAGTACAAACCGAAGGGGGCGATGGCGACCAGAGGCAGCACCGCGCTGACGGCGAGATCCCTCCCAGCACGGGCTGTCTGGCACGGCGCCTCGCTGCGCGGGAGGCGGCCCCGCAGGCCGCCGACACCAGGTTGCCCAGCCTGCCCACCTGGACCAGTGCACACCCCGCTATGGGAGAGACACGGGATGGTTGGGAAGAGGGCCGAGCCACCGCTGAAGATGCGTCCTCTCAGGAGGCCGTCGCTGAATGCATCTCGAACGGCACGTCTGGGACGACGAAGAGAGAGGGCTTGGGTCTGGCAGGATGCCTCTGGCTGGCCGCTCTCCCGCCGCCCAGCTCCGTGCGCGTACTGCCCGGGCTCGTCGCCTGGCCTCCGGCGATGGCTACTGTCGGCGAAGGGGCTCGCAGGTGGGACTCGAAGCAGCGGGGCCTCAGCGTGCCTTCCGCGGCCCCGCGCGCCTGGCGAGCGTCAGAAGCCGCCAGTCCGTGAGCAGCGAGCCGCGCTGGTGCCCACAAGGTGTGGCTCACTGCTGACCGCAGGGCTCGGACGTGCCGCACGGCCCACATCTCCGAGAGCTTCCCCGAGAACTTTCGGAGCGGTTGCCAGAAAGCGGGTGCCGAAGGCGCGCCGTCCAGCGCGTCTGGGGCGCCATCGCCCTTCCTCCAACCGCAGCGCGTGTTATCCAACGCCTGAATGTCGGACGCTCTGGCGGCGGCCTGGGCTGCTAGGCGCTTCACCTGGTTGGGCGGCAGCTGCTGCATGTCGTAGGCGATGCCGCCGCCGACATCCCGAAGCGCCGTGCTGCTGTCGAAGGCCCAACCGATCCCCATCATGGTCATGACCGAGACGTCCGCAGGCGTGGTGGCCAGCCTCCAAGCTGCCGACGTTGGGGTGCACTTTGTAAGAGCGTCTCGCATGACGACGTCGAGGACGCGAGGCTTCGGGGTCGCCTCCAACACCGCCGAGCTCCACATCCGGACCACCATGGCTGCCGTGAGCACGAACGGGTCGTAGTCGACGCCCTTCTCGCCGCAAGCCAGTCGACGCCCCCTTCGGCAGTCGCCCAAAACTCTGCGCCGCGGCCACCCGCAACCCGTTGAGCGCTCCACTGGCGATGCCTTGGGCTGCGGACCCCCACCATGGCGGCGGCCGTACCTCCAGCCCGCTGCAATTGCCGAATCTCGGCCCCTGCATCCCGGAGCATCTGCGCCCGTGCGGCGCGGTGGTGGGCCCCCTGCTCCCAGCTCCTGGCGGTGGCAACCTTCCTGACCTTCCCCAATTGTTACATCGGTGCACAAATGAACGAGTGCTGTCGGCCCAGCGACCAGCGCTGCTGGAGGGCGTCTGCCACCTGCATGCGGGACGCGAGGCAAGCGCACCTCTTCAGCGAAATGGGTAGCTGCAACTCCACCCGCGCCATCTACACGAGCAGCGCCTGGGTGCCAACGCCCACCTGATCAGCCACGAGGTTGACGGAGCCCACCGCCTGGAGCTTGATGTCGTCCACTACGCTGCGCACGGAAATTCGTGGACGAGGATCGGCAACCAATAACAATGGCGCTAACAATAAAGGCCTGGCCAATGATGTTGCCGCAGAGCAGCCTGCAATGACGGCCCCGCTCGCGTGGTAGTTGCTCGAGATCGCGCCGCCGAAGATGAGGGCGCACTCCCCCGCGTAGAGCACGCAGAGCCCTCGGAGCAGCATCAGCGGGAAACCGAACCGGACGGCGGCCTCGTGCAAGAAGCGTAGGCGAATCTGTTCGTAGAACTTCCTCAGGTCCAACACGGCTGCCGCACATGACATGCCTGCCGCTCGCCCGAATCCAGCCAACACGTTGTGCAGCAAGAGGTCCTGGCAGAGCCTCCCCAGAAGAAGGGGTGATCGTTGCGAAGCTCCCATGCCTTGCACCCCTTCTGGCGCAGTTTCGACCACAACTTGGGGAAGAGCGCGAGCAATCCGATGGGCCTCACGCCCCCCTCCGGCTTCGCCAAGATCATCATGCAGGTGATGAACTCGCGGAGCACCTTCGGCTTGCGCTCGAACAGGCCCAGCAGCCACAAAAAGCGGCTCTGGAACTCCTCGGGGAACTGCAATATCCACTTGGGATGGAAGTTATACCAGCCTAGTCCGGCAGCCTCCGAATAAGGCTTGCAAGCCTTGCGCAAGTCGTTCAGCGTCAGCAGCTCTGGCTCGCTCCCGTCCACATCGCACTTTGCGGGGTGCTCGTCGGCCTCGCGTCTGCTCGCGCACCATAGTGGCACCCAGTCTGCCACTAACTTCTCGATAGCCTCCTGGCCGCTCACCGGGAGGATCTCCTCCGCAGCCTCGTCCACGGAGCCCTCCTGGGTGCCGCGCCAGAGCTTCGTGAAGCGGTGGGCCGCTTTCCCGCCTCTCAGCACAGCGCGGCGGGCCCAGGCCCTCCAGCCCTCCAGCTGCTCGCGGGCGTCGGCCATCCGTCGCGCCTGCACCTCGCGCTCCAGCTCCTCCCAATCGTCCTTGTTGACGACCCCCCCGACGGTGGTCATCTGGTGGAAAATCCTGTGCAACGATGCGCTGGTGAACTCACCCCCCTCCCTTTCCTGCATGTCCCCACCGTGTCCCGGAGCTTCCTCTCCCAAGTTCCGAGCCTCGTTTGCCCGGGTCGCCCAGGATGAGAAGACGCGATGGTGCTCGCCCGCCTGCGCAGCGCCTGGAAGGCTATCCACGTGTAAGTGGACGGCGAAGCCCTCCTCCTGAGCCCGCGTTCCCATGCCACGCGCAATGGGACCCTCACAGCGCGGGGGACCCTGGAACGGCCGACGTACTTTCCACGATCGAGCTGGCTGATGCCGTGGAGGTCGGTCAAAAACGATTGAGCCCGAACGAACCATTCCCTCACCAGCCTCTCCATGTCCTCACCAGGGACATCTGTTGCGGGCGCGGCCCAACAGGCTGGCGTAAGCTCACGCTGCGGGCCGATGGGAACCTCGACGCTGAAGCGCTCGAACCGAACGGGGCGCTCCAACTCCCGCATGCTCCGCAGGCCTGTCATCCGTCGCAGGAGGAAGAGGAGGAGGACGAGAAGGAGGAGGAGGAGGAGGAGGAGGAGGAGGAGGAGGAGGAGGGGGAGGAGCAGGGGAGAGGAGAGGAGAGCAGAGGAATGCTGCCGCCCTCAGTCACAGCCGCCGCCCGGGGCCCCGGACGGCGGCCGCCGGCGGGGGCCTGCCGCTCCTGCTGCGCTTCCGCCGACTGGGGCTCCGCCGGCGGCGGCGCGAGGGGCTGCGAGTGCACCTGTGCAGTTCTCCGCCTCCTCCTCCTCCTCCTCCTCCTCCTCCTCCTCCTCCTCCTCCTTCCGAACCCGACCCCCCGCGATTTCTGAGGGTGGGGTGGGGTATCACTGCGTTCGGGAGCTCCCAAGCGGAGTGACCCCCCACCCCACCCTTCGAAATCGAGGGGGGGGGGGTACAGTGCGGGCCCGACCACAAGAAACCGTCCACAAGAAAGCCAACCCTGAGGCCCCAGGCCGTCCATTGATGTCGGGTGTGGGAACGGCACGCCGTCCATCGCAGAACCATCGAAGCGCAGGAAACCCAGGGCACCATGGAGGCGAGCAAGGGGTTCCTTGGCATGGGCCCCCGCTGTAGAGCGGGGCGCCAGCCAGCCGCTCTTTTAGGTCCAGCGGCGGTGGGCGGCGAGCGCTGGCATCCCTGGAGATCCTGGCGCCGCATCTTCTTCACAACGGGCGACGTTTCGCCTCGTGTGCGGGGCCCCTGGACCCTCACGGATCGACCCAGCTCGACAAATGCAGCAGGCAGAGATTGAGTCCCTGGCTCTGGTCGAGTTTTTGCTGGTACTACGATCGTGCGTTTCTTCGTGACGTCGACTCTCCTGGTGCTCTCGTCGCGGCAAAAATCACGACGGAAGGTTTGAACTTCAGGAGGTTCGTGCGGACTTCTCGGATGGGCACCGGACCCCCTGCTTGGCGCGTGGAGCGCGGCAGGGGCGGCGACGGAAGCGCCGCCAAGGGGGTCCGACGCCGATCCAAGAAATCTGCGCGGAGCGCCGACACTTCCCAAAACACCTTGTCTGCAAGGGTAGTGTACATATATAAATATATATATATGTGTGTGTATTCACATGTAGATGTATTTGCGTATCGGAAATGATGGGGGTGAGATCGCAATGAAACGGAGAGATCCCCACTGGGCAATCGATTTTTGTCTCGTGTTCGTGTCGTGCGTGCGGGCGAGACAAAGCTGCGTGGACGGGCAAGGGGAACGAACCCTCTTCTGGCCATAGGGCGCCGCAGGGCCAAAAGACCGCCCCAGTCGTCCAGCGGTGGCTGGGGGTGCCCCGTCGGTGTCCCGCCACTAGTCCGTCGATGTCTCCTCGGTGTCCAGTAGTGGGACCGATGGTGAGGTCGACGATAGTCAGACCGTAGTGCGACCGATAGTGAGATCGATAGTGGGATCAATGGTGATATCGATAGTTCGATCAGTAGTGAGATCAATACCGATATCGATAGTGGGATCGATGGTGGGGCGTGAGATCGTTCGTGAGATCAATCGTGATATCAATGGTGAGATCGATTGTAAGATCGACAGTGAAATTGCTAGCGGGGTCGATGGTGACATGTGATATCTAAAGTGGGGTCGACAGTACGATCGATAGCGAGATCGATGGTAGGATCGATCGTCAGATCGAGTGTGAGATAGATTGAGAGATAAAGAGAGATGTCGACACTGAGATCGATCAGGTGATATCGATAGTGGGATCGATAGTGAGATCGATAATGCGATCGATTGTGATATCAATTGTAAGATCAATAGTGTGATCGACTGTGAGGTCGATTGTAAGATTGATAGTGAGATCGATGGTGAGATCGATGGCGAGATTGACATGTCCAAGTCCCTCTTCTCAAATATCAGTTTGTTGCTTCCCGTACAGTTTTCTCAATGTCTTGAAACAATCACACACGCACACTCACACTCGGACACATTTTTGTTCTCGGTTTTCCCGGGCGCTGGTTTTCCGAGAATGGTCACCAACAATCACGCGAGTGGTAGTCTTTCCGTTCGTTTTTGCTTTTGGCGCTGGTTTTCCGAGAACGGCCGCTCGCCGTAGTGAGTGTGATTTTTTGTTGTGGGGGGCCCTTCCCCATCGTTTTTTTTGTGTGTGTGTGTGTGTGTGTGTGCGCGTGTGCGCGTGTGTGCGTGTGTGCGTGTGTGTGTGTGTGCGTGTGGTGGCGGGGGTGGGGGGGCGTGGGAGGTGGGGGGGGGTCTGGAATGAAGTGAGAGGAGACACCGGGCTACAAAAGACATCGCGTCTGGACTCCGAGAGTTGATTGCAATCGTGGCGATGGGCGGCCCCTGTTTGGGAGATCCTCTCTGGTTCAGACAAAGAGTGTGGCTTCGGAATGTGTAAGGGAGGATCCTGCGTCGGAGTTGTCCTCAATTGGGCGGAAAAGCAGAGTCAGGACAGACATTGTGTTGGGATTCCGAAAGTTGAGTTTGAATTTTGGCGATGGGCGGCCCCTGTTTTGGGGATCACCTCTGGTTTAGACAAGGAGGGTGGCTTGGGAATGCGCGATGGAGGCTACTGCGTTGGGGCTGCCACCTGCTGAAAGTGAGTATCGAAGAAGGAAGGACAGAGCATTAGGATTCCGAGGTGTAAGAAGGAATAATTAATGGCTTTTAGATGGGGAGGGGGACGGGGGTGGGTG